AAAGGTAGTTAAGTGATGGCTCACTTTTCCTTGAAAGGAGAGGCTTGACCAAATTTACTAATGTTGTATTTTATTATTTATTGTGTTGCATACAGAATAATACAATGAAGAGTGAGGGTTGTTGGGGTAGACAGGTGGAAATGCAAGAAAAAGCCTAGTCTGATATGTAAGGAGTAATGGAAATGCTGGAAAAATCTGAAGAGAAGGTGAGGACAGGAATAGAAAGTAAACTCATGGGGAACATTTTCACTGGTTTGCAGGAGAGTGAGGTCATAGATGAGAAAAGTAAAGCTGATCAATATAAAATGTGAAAATCCTAGCATTGGGCAAGACCTAAATGAGTCATCTTGTCCATTTTCCTGCCTTTAGATAAAAGGGCTCTTTAAACTTTAGCTGTTTAGTTGTGAGGTATGTAGGACTTGGAAACATTAAAAAAAAAAAAAAGACCTTGGAGGTGTTGTGGAAGAAACAGCTTAGATTAGGTAACCACCAACTAAGGATAGGGACTAGGTGTTTAGGATTAAATAACAAGGAGGGAGGGAGTACTGAAATGCCTTGTGAAAACCTAAGTATCCATGTGAAAACCCAAGTGTCCATGTGAAAACATTGTGGTGAGTCTCCACTATGAACTCTGTCCTTCACTGTGTAATTCTACCTTTCATCATCAGGAGCAGACTTACAAAGTGGCTTCCCTGGGGACATTTTCTGACCTTCTGGTGTGCAGTTCCCTCAGGGACTTCACTCTGGACAAACCTGAATGGCTGACCAGAGCAAAGAAGCCTAGTGTTCAGATAAGGTCTTTATGTCTTTTTCCCTTATTTCACAACTGGAGCCACAATTCTGGTCAAGGCGCTGACTTTCTTGATGAAGTCTGTTCATCTATAAAGCAGCCAAATATCCTACTGGCGTCTTTGCCTCCCAGAAGTGACATGAAGACGGATGAGCAGACATCAGGAGCAGAGTGGCCTCTCAGGTACCGAGCTAATCTTTATTTCAATCAGTGAAGCACTTACTAATATCCATACCTAAGCCTATTCCAAGAGCTACAGAAGGGAGTACCAAACTGTAAGAAATGCTCTCTCTTTAAGATTATTAAAATTCAATTGGAGAGCTAAAACCAACATACACACAAAAAATGATAGCCTAATAAATGCTGAACCGTGTGGTGTTGACCAGATTGGTACAAGAATACGGAGGAGAGGTAGATCAGTGGAACCTGGAGAAGTAAAAGAGTTCTTCTTAGAGAAAATGGGACTTCCAAGGACTAGAAGGATTCAGAAAATTGGAGGGAAGAGGAACGAGTTTGCCAGCATCAGCAAAGGTAGGAATAGGCATAGCAATACAACCCATTGTTTCCTCTATCCTCTACGGAGCTTGCTATCTAAGGAATTTGGAACCATGGGCAACCACCGGGATAGGGACCTCTTCACAGTTCCTTTTCCTATTAAGGCACTTTCTTTCCTCTCTTGGTTTAACTCTGGCCTGACCTGAGACTTTCCTGTCTTAGAAGTGCAAATGTAGGAGGCACAGGCTGTTTAACAGAGATACTGGCTGCCAAGAGGGACAATAATGATAAGCCTTAAACTATTGTTCTCAAACTTCAGGGCGAATAATTGCTACTTTAAAAAGTCTGCAGTGGGGCTGGGAATCTGAATTTTAAACAAGCACCTAGTGATTCTATTTCAGGTGGTCAGTGGAACATTGAGAAACACTGCCCTACACTAAAATAGAGTGGAAAATAAAGTGCCAGAATGGCTTGGACATCGACCCACGTACTGTTATGTATTTCAAGGCTCACTCATTTTTGAGAATTTATCCTCTCCCATCTGTGGCTTTTGTAAAATCTGCATGGCTATCATCTAAGGAGCAAGACATGGACACTGTTTTGGTGTTTAGTTTTGTCTTCCTAACTAGATTGCCATCACCTTAAAGACAGACTGCTTGGGAGTCTTCTTACTTTCCCCACAGTAGGGTGAGAGACCATCTTTAAGAGGGTTTTAAGATTAGTTTTCTAGGGCTGCCATAATAAAGTACCACAAACTGGGTGGCTTAAACAACAGAAATTTATTTCTTCACAGTTCTGGAGGCTGTAAGTCTGAGATCAAGGTGTCTGCAGGGTTGGTCTCTTCTGAGGCTTCTCTCTTTGTCTTGTAGATGGCCATCTTCTCCAGCATAAGAGCCACCATCCTGGTAAGTGCTTCATCAGTTGTGATTCACAGCTGGTCTTCCCTCTGTGCTTGTGTCCTAATCTCCTCTTCTTATAAGGACACAAATCATTTGGAATTAGGGCCCACCTTAATGACCCCATTTGAAATTTCTTTTTTAAAGATCCTATCCCCAAATACACTCACATTTTGAGGTAATAGGGTTTAGGACTTTCACATATGAATTTTGGACCACAATTCAGCCCATGAGAGCCATCTAGTTTCAGCTTCTAGAAGTGTGCCACTCCATTCACTCTCTTTTCTTCCACCTGTTAATCTTGTATAGTAAGTTCTCTCCACCCTTTGGCTGTCCTCCTCCGCTTCTTACAGATGTGTTGGCTTGTGTGGCAAGAACTCAGGGAACAGCTCTGAAGAGCCCATATAGAGATGGGCAGGTTGTGGCACGCACCAAACACAGCACCGAGGAGCTGTTGAAATTGTAGAAGTATTGTTTTAAAGACGTAGTTCTCTCCCCATTTATCTTAACATTTGATGATAACTAGACCTTTATGTAAGCAGTCTGGGGATGTTCTAACATCCTTTGTTTTCTTCCACTGTAGTTCTTTCATCAGACCTTTCCTTGGCTGGTTCTTCTCTGGGCCCAATTACTTCCAATATTCAGTGAGGACAAAAGCAGAATAAGGGCTTGCTGAAATTTCACATAAGGACAGTTTCTGAGAGTAAGCCCCCCTGGTTTTGCACTGCTCCTAAGGCTGATAAATAGCAACACCACTAAGAAACACTTTGGGGGAAAAGTTCCTATTATTTAATAAGAAATAGGAAAGGTATATGAAAAGTAAAAGAGGCAGTCTCAAGATATTTAGTTCTTTCTGAAGTCTTTTCCTGCCAGCTTGGGAGAGCACTACTAGAGAGAGGCAAATCTTCCCTCTTCTTGGGGCCTTTTTTCCCCCCTAGTCAGTCAAGCCAAACATCTTGTTAAACCAGGAAGTTATGCTCAATTATCTTAAAAAAAATTTTTTTTAAGGATTTTATTTATTTATTTGACAGAGAGAGAGAGAGAGAGAATGAGAACAGCAGAAGGAGAGGGAGAAGCACACTTTCTGCTGAGCAGGGAGCCCTACACAGGGCTTGATCCCAGGACCCCAGGATCATGACCTGTGGCAAAGGCAGACAATTAACCAACTGAGCCACCCAGGTGCCCCCAAAAATTAAAAAAAAAGTTTTTTGTATCATTTAAAAATTCTATTAACATATCTGTTCATTGACAGATGCATCCAATGACACAGTTATTGTGAAATGTATAAATATATAAATATACATATTTATATTTTATATATTGTGAAATGTATAAATATATATTTATATATTAAGTATATTAAATTTATATGATATATAAAATATATTTATAAATATATAAATAGTTCACTTCTCTGTAAAGTCCAAATCTTTCCAAATTTCTGTTTCCAGTCCCTGTTAAAGTAGGTTGGTAAACTCAGAGAAGCCACCACCAAGATATTATGAGTCCTAGGTGAATATTATTCTTGTTGCTCAATCTTCCCATCTTTCTCCCTCTGCTTCTTCGCAGGAATTTCTGACTTCGAATGTGTATTTCTACCCGAGTCACTTTTCGCCCTCTGGCATAGAACTTCTTCCCACCAAATCATCATTCACCGTACCTCTCCAGACCCTTAGCACAAGCCTTGTGTAAAGATCAGGAAAGTACTCTGGGTAATTCATTAAATTCTTGTAGGGGGTTAAACTCACCCCACTTTTCTGAAGCAATTTTCTTTCTTTTCCACCCAAAAAATGTACTATAAACTGGGACTCTCTCCTGTTACTGTTACTTCTCAACAGCCACCATGAATGTCTTACTATGAAGTAACTGGCAAAGCTAGAGAAATTGCTTGCTCCTGTTCAATGACTTGGTGTAATTACAATGGAGTTTGGGAAGCAAGCTCCATTCCGAGAAATCGGGAATTTACTGTCCTCTATTTTACCTGCTCAAGGCAGGCAGAAGGGACTGTTGTCCATTGGCATTCTGCCCTTCTTCCTGAGCTTCCTTTGCTGAGGCTTTCCCTCAATGCTCCAGGATCCTGCACCTCAGAATCCTTTGGGGCGGGCTGCTTTGGAGCTGCTGAGCTAGCCAGGGGGCTGGTGGTGTTGTTCCAGAATAGGGGTTCTTTAGCCTGTACCAACTCTGAAACCAAACTGTGTGATCCTGGGCAATTCATGGGTACAGTGCCCACCTCTTCAAGGGGTTAGTATTGAAAACGGTAAGGTCCTTCCATGCCAGAACACTGGCTATCCCGCTCAGTCCTCTTTGGTTCTGGACTCCCTTCCCGTGCTGCAGGCCTGCTGGCCCCTCACTTTCTGCGGCCCGGGCGCCTCTCTCCCTCCTGGGGGGTGCACGTGGGGCCGTTTCCCTCACCCCACCTCTTCGCGGGAGGGGAGGAGAAGACCGGCCGCCCCCGCCCCTGGTAGAGTGGGCGGCGAAGGCCGAGCCGGGGGCGCCGCGACCGCCCGGGACCCGCCCGGGACCCGCCCGCCCTCTCGCCGCTGGGCCCCGAATGGCAGAGCGGCGCTCGGACCATCCGCATCGCCTCACGTCGCCCCGCCCCACGCCGCCCTCTCATTGGCTGTCGCCCGGCCCTCGGGGCCCGCGCCTCTCCTAGAGGCCGGCCGGACCCCGCGGTAGCCGGCAGCGGGGTCGGAGGTGAACGGCCCGGAGTAACCCCGGACGTAGTCACCTCGTGGTGCTCGCACGCTGAGGTGGGAGGCAGGGGCGGGGCGGGGCGGGGTGGGGGCGGGCTGAGGCCCCGCCCCTTCCCCGTGAGCCTGGCCGGCCTGGTGCTGCGCGCCTGTCAGCCATCGCGGGAGCTCCCGGCGTCTCCTCCCGCCCAGCACTGCCTCTGCGCAGGGGCTGCCCGGCACCGCCGGACCCCGGACGCCTCCGCCCTGAGGTGAGGTGAGGGCCGCCCCAGAGCCCGTGGTCCGGGACCTGGAGAGGCCGGGGCACGGGGAGGGGTGGTGGCAGCGGGAGGGCCTCCTCCCATCTTGCGCCCGCACGCGGCCCGGGCTCCATCCCGTCCGGACCTGTGCAGGGCAACCCGGACCTCTCCGCAGCTCTGGGCCCTTGAGTACCCACTCTGGGCATACGCAGAGGGGTCTAGGGTCCCGGAGTCGGGGGTGGGAGTTCAGACTCCGGAACTGGGAGTCGTAGAGCCCAGGGCCTCTAAGGAGGGACTGGGGTGTCTGCCGGGAGCTGGCCATCATCCCCCTCCCCAGCCTTGGCGTGGGCTGATTCCTTCCAGACCTCTCTCCAATCCGACCCGGCGCTCGGGAGAGGGGGAAGACCCACGTGGGAGAGGGACGTTGAGGATTAGGTCCAGTCGCATTGAAAGTCGTCTTCCTCTTTCAGAGTGGGGTGTGGGGTGCAGAGCCCCTGGCTACTTTGTCTTTGTACCGTGGTGGGAGCTAGGGTCAGGCGAGTTTTCCTTTGCCAGTTCTTGCTCCCGGGATTTTATGTTTTCTGTGAGGGACGTAGTATATGTACACGTCTGTTGTTACTCTCCTTCCCGTTTGCTGTACTGATCCAGGGAGGCTATTGGAGATAGAACGTAGTAAAGTGTTATGTGAAACTAACGATTTCAGAGGGAAATGTGCATGAAGGTCCTGCCTGGGTCAGCGCCAACATTATTTTGGATTTGAAGATGAGAAAGTAGACACTAGTGTACACTTGGAATCAGCTGTAAATATCAGGGGCTTCTGTAGGCCTTGTGGGTTTTATAGAAGTATGTAAGAATATAACTACTCAGGTAGGGGAAATACTTTAATTTCAGATATTTTTTTGTTTGAGGGTCTAAGTTTAGGATGGAAATCAAAATACCCTAGGACTTCCTGATTTTATCTCTCCTTAAGCAGCGTTTCTATAATTTCCCAGCGTGTGGTGGAATAAACCTAATAATTTGGTCTTCAGTCTCAGAAGTTGGTCCCCTTGACTCCATTCATTTTTTTCCCAAGCCAAAGTGCAGACTGAGAATCATGCTTGGGTTACCTGGTTTCTTCTTCCTCAGGGAGTAGGAATTCTCTGATTTGCTTCTTTTGGGGGATGCCTTGGATGCTTGTGATGAGGAATTCTGTGTTATTTGATAGGCACTTCCCCCCCCCCAAGATTTTATTTGTTTATTTGATAGAGAAAGAGAGAGCACATGCAGGGGAAGCCGGAGACAGAGAAGTAGGCTTCCCATTGAGCAGGGAGCTGGTATGGGGCTGGATCCCCAGGACCCTGGGATCATGATCTGAGTTGAAGGCAGACGCTTAACTGTCTGAGCAACACAGACACCCCTTGACAGGTGCTTTTAAGGAAAGTATTGTGGTCCAGTAGAGTAGGACAGCAGCTGTAGTGTCCAGGTGGGTGCCTACTTGCTACTCTTCCCATTTCTCTTGCCTCAGTTTCCTTTTTTCTAATTGCAGGAGGACTGTTGTGAATCCAAAAATAATTAGTAAAATAATTGTAAAGTGATCATATGAAAGTTGTTCATGGCATAGTATTAATTTACAAATCTGCCTGTGTTTGTGTTGCAGTTTTGTTTTGTTTTTAAAGATTTTAAGTAATCTCTACACCCAAGTCACATGTTTCACTGACTGAGCTAGCCAGGTGCCCCACAAGTTTTGTTTTGAATCACCAGTGCAGAATAGAAATAACATTGAGCATAAGATTTAATTGTTTTAAAATGAGAGGAAAGGTAGGGAAATAATGGCATTTGGATTAATGAACTTACAGTTCAGATAATGACTAGGTTATGTCAAAGAACTGGCATTTTGAAAGCTAGGCTCAGAACTCTCTCATCTGATACTGACCTCTCTTACATGCTGTGAACTGGTTCAGGTGTAGATCACTATGTAACGTTCTATTTCCTTTTCAGTCAATGACTAGGAATTTTGTTTTGTTTTGTTTTGTTTTGTTTTAACCTGTCACACAGACTGGTTTAACAGGTCTGGGGCTAGTGTTTTTCTTTCTTTAAAAAAATTTTTTTTGATAGCTAATATCCTAATAGTCTTGGTTGAAGAAAGAAGTAAAATACAAATTGTTGGAATTAGACATTGGTTTTTGTTTTTTTTTTAAGATTTTATTTATTTTAGAGAGAGAAAAAGTGCACCCACATGGAGGGTGGAGGGGCAGAGGGAGAGAGAGAGAGAGAGAGGGAGAATCCCAAGCAGATGCCCCACTGAGCATGGAGCTCAACCCCAGGGTTGAACTCTCAATTCTGAGATCAAGACCTGAGCTGAAATCAAGAGTTGGATGCTCAGCCAACTGAGCCACCCAGGTGCTCCTACTTTAGGAATTTTCTAGTCCAGTTTTCTACTCATTATGAGAGTATTTTATCTGATACTACTGTTGAAGACTTTCAACTATAGGCTAATCTTCTATATCATCTAACCTAATGCATCACAGGGCAACTAATTTTTCAGAGTTCTTAATTATTTTCAACTTAAAACTATCTCCCTAAAACCACATAAGATGCTGTAATTCCGGGTGCCTGCCTGGCTCAGTTGGTTAAGTATCTGCCTTTGGTTTAGGTCATGATCTCAGGGTTGAGATTGAGCCCTGTGTCAGGCTCCCTCTCCCTCTGTGGCTCCCCCCTCTGCTTGTCCACGCTCTCTCTCTCAAATAAATAAAATCTTAAAAAAAAAAGATGCTGTAATTCCAAGAGGATTAGAAATGTCTTTTTTTTTTTTTTTTAAGATTTTATTTATTACTTGACAGAGATCACAGGCAGAGGGGCGGGCAGAGAGAGGAGGGGAAGCAGGCTCCCTGCTGAGCAGAATGTCTATGTGGGCTCAATCCCAGGACCCTAAGACCATGACCTGAGCTGAAGGCAGAGGCTTAACCCACTGAGCCACCCAGGCACCCCAGAAATGTCTGTTTTAACCTGTAAATTTCTCCACCTCTGCTGGGTAATGTAACCTACAGTGCCTTAATACAGGGGGAGTGGGGAGGGGTGCAAAAAAAAATTAAGCAATATTTCTTCAAGGAAGAAATTGTTCTTAACTTTGAGACTCTGGAAGGCTGCTGACATACTTCAGTCATGGCTCCCGCTTTTTCTGAATGTTCTATTAAATAATATGAGGATGAGGGACACCTGGGTTGCTCAGTGGGTTAAGTGAAGTGTCTGCCTTCACCTGAGGTCATAATCCCAGGGTCCTCTGATCAAGCCCTGTGTTGGGCTTCCTGCTTGGCGGGGAGCCTGCTTCTCCCTAGCTCTCTGCCTGTCACTTCTCCTGCTTGTGGTCTCTCCCTATCAAATGAATAAAATTTGTAAAAAGAAAAAAAAAAATTAAGGACAGATTGGTTCATAATCCCAGAGCTTTTTGAATTCACAAAATGGCTTTTTACCTAGAGGCCTCCAAATGTTTCTAGGGGATAATATTTGAAATAATCACGCGGCTTCTGTCTCTTGGTTTTGTAACTCCAGTGTTCATTTTAATTCCTGGGGAACACTCAACCAGCAAAGGCCTAGTGTTTACACAGCATTGTGTGGGATTGAGGGTGGTGGATCTAAAACAATCAGAAGAGATAATAACTTTCCCAGCTTCATTGAGGAGGTAACTCATCGTCAATTATACAGTAACACAGAGTAAGAAATAAGTGAATGACATACCTGTTGTCTACTTAAATGCTCAGGCAGATATGAAATAAGGTATCAGAGTGGCATGGAATTTGGTAAAGTTTTTTAATAAACTTATTTGAAAATCCTCAGTTGCTAACATATGAGTAATACATATAAAGATGTACAGTTCAGTATTAAATATGTTTATAACCTTGTGCACCTGTTACTACTACCCATCTCTAAAACTTTTTCATCTTGTGAAACTGAACCTCTGTACCCATTAAACAATAGTTCCCCATTCTCTGCTTCCCCCAACTCCTGCCAACTACCATTCTACTTCTTGTCAATATGATTTTGACTAAGTACCTCATGTAAGTAGAATTATACAGCACTTGTCTTTTTGTGACTGACTTATTTCACTTAGCATAATGTCCTCAAGATCCATCCATATTGCATATTGCAGAATTTCCTTCCATTTGAAGGCTGAACAACATTTCATTGTATGTCTGTATCACATTTTGCTTACCCATTTATTCATCGGTGCTAACTTGGCTTTTTCCATATTTAAGCTATTATGAGTAATGCTGCTATAAACATGGATCTACAGATATACATTTGAGAGCCTTTATTTGGTTTTTTGGGGGTATAAATCTAAAGTGGAATTGGTGGATTTTACAGTAATTCTACTTTTAATCTTTTGAGGAACCACCATACTGTTTTCCTTAGCAGCTGTACCACAGTACATTCCCACTGATGGTCCCCAAGTGTTCCAGTTTCTCCACATCCATGCCAACACTTTTTTCTGCTTTTATGAGGGTAGCCATCCTGATGGGTATGGGTTGGTATCTTATCGTAGTTTTGATTTGCGTCTTCCTAATGAGTAGTGATGTTGAGCATATTGATGTGCTTATTGGCCACTCATATATCTTTTTTGGAAAAATTTCATTTTAAGTCCTTTGCCTGTTTTCCAATTGGGATTGAGTTTTAGGAATTCTTTATATATTCTGGTGGGATGCCTGGGTGGCCCAATCAGTTAAACGTCTGCGTTCAGCTCAGGTCATGACTCCAGGGTCCTGGGTTCGAGTTCTGCATTGGGCTCCTTGCTTTGCGGAGAGCCAGCTTCTCCCTCTGCCTGCCTTTCCCCCTGCTTGTGTTCGTGCTCACTCTCCCTTTCTCTCTCTCTTTGACAAATAAATAAAAATCTTATAAAAATGAAATATTAGGAGTTCTTTATATATTCTGGATGTTAATCTCTTATTGAATACATGATTTGCAAATATTTTCTCCCATTTTTTTCAGTATCTTTTAGTATCAACTTATTTTTTTTTAAAGATTGTATTTTATTTTTTTTTTAATTTTTATTTGTTTATAAACATATAATGTACTATTAGCCCCAGGGGTACAGGTCTGTGAATCGCCAGGTTTACACACTTTACAGCACTCACCATAGCACATACCCTCCCCAATGTCCATAACCCCACCACCCTCTCTCGACCCCCCTCCCATATTTTCTCCCATTTTTTGGTCTGCCTTTTTACTCTGTTAATAGTGTCTTTTGATGTACAATTTTTTTTTAAATTTTCAAGAAATCCAATTTGTCTGTTTTTTCTTTTGTTAAGCTAGCTCTTGGTGTCATATCCAAGATATCTTTTCCAAATCCAATGTTATGAAGATTTCGTCCTGTTTCTTCTAAGAGTTTTATTGGTTTAGGTTTTACTTTAAAGCCTTGACGCATTTTGAGTTAATTTTTTAATATGGTGTTAGAGAAGGGTCCAATTTCATTTGTTTGTATGTGGAGATCCAGTTTTCCCAGCACCATTTTTTGAAAAGTCTGTCCTACATTAAATGGTCTTAGCATCCTTGTCAGATATCATTTGACCATATATGGGAGGGTTTATTTCTGGGCCTTCTTTTTTTAATTGAAGTATAATTAACATACAATGTTATATTAGTTTCAGGTGTATAATATAATTCAATAATTCTAAACATTACTCAGTGCTTATCATGATAAGTGTACTCTTAATCCCCCTCACCTGTTTTACCCATTCTCCCACCCACCTTCCCTCTGACAACCATCAGCTTCTTCTCTGTATTTAAGAGTCTGTTTTGTTATTTGTCTCTCTCTCTCTTTTTTTTTTTTTTTTAAGATTTTATTTATTTATTTGACAGATTGAGAGAGCACAAGTAGGCAGAATAGCAGGGAGAGAGAGAGAAGTAGGCTCTCCGCTGAGTAGGGAGCCCGATTTGAGGCTGGATCCCAGGACCCTGGGATCATGACCTGAGCTGAAGGCAGCCACTTAACCAACTGAGCCACCCAGGTGCCCCCTGTCTCTCCTTTTAAAAAAATGATTGATTCGTTTTAAAGAGAGCTTGCAGGTGAGCCAGCACCACGGGGGGAGGGGCAGAGGGAGAGAACCTTTAAGAGGACTCTGCCCCGAGCCTGGAGTCCTACATGGGCTTGATTTTAGGACCCAGGAGATCATGACCTGAGCCAATACCAAGAGTCAGATGCTCAACCAACTGAGCCACTAAGGTTCCCCTATTTGTCTCTTTTCAAAATTCATTTGTTTTGTTTCTTAAATTCCACGTGAGTGGAATCATATGGTACTTGTCTTTCTCTAACTTAATTTTACTTAGTATTATACTCTCTAAGTCTGTCCTGTTGCTGCAAATGGCAAGCTCCCGTTCTTTTTCAGCTCTCTATTCTGTTTCTCTGGTCTATATATCTGTATTTATGTTAATATTGCAGCTTTGTAGTAGGTTTTTTGTTTGTTTGTTTTTGAGATTTTATTTACTTGAGAGAGAGAGAGAGAGAGAGAGTGCATGAGTGGAGAGAGGGGCCCAGGGAGAAGCAGGCTCCCCGCTGATCAGGGAGCCTCCCATGGGACTTGATCCCTTGACCTTGAGATCATGACCTGAGCTGAAGGCAGGTACCCCTGTAGTAACTTTTAAAATCAGGAAGCATGAGTCTTCCAGTTTTGTTCTACTTCAAGATTTTTTTGGCTATTTGGGGGTCCCTTGGAATTCCATATGAATTTTAGGACAGGCTTTTCTATTTCTGCAAAAAACATTTCTACATGTAAAATTGTATAAAATCATGTCACCTGCTCCCTCCCCCAATTTTTAACGTTTTCTATTTCCACAGAATCCCTTTTTTCTAGTAGCATTTTTTTTCTCAAGTTGTTTTTGATTCTTTAATTTTGGGGGTTTTTCTCATATATACAGTAATCTTTAATTGCTTAATTTTAACAGAGGGTGATCGAAAAGCTAATTCAAGTTTGTGATAATGTTCACGAGGCTGGTTGACTATTAACTTTTTTTTTTTTTATTTTTTTTAAGAGAGACACAGCAAGAGGGGCAACACAAGCAGGGGGAGTGGGAGAGGGAGAAGCCGACTTCCCACTGAGCAAGGAGCCCCATATGGGACTCGATCCCAGGACCCTGGGATCATGACCTGAGCCAAAGGCAGCCGCTTAACGACTGAGCCACCCAGGCGCCCTTTAATGACTTTTTAAAAAGTAAATTTTCTTAATGCCAGGCTTGAACTCTCAACCCCAACATCAAGAGTGGCATGTTCTACTGACTGAGCCAGCCAGGTGCCCCTTCATTTTTAAAATGTTGGTTACAACCTTCTAAATTTATTTCTTAGTATTCTGCTTGGTGGTAACCCATAGTTTGAAAAACACTGGTCTAGTACATAGTTTACAGGATACTTTCATATACTCTTCAGGTTCACAGCAGTCCCCTAAGGTAACATATAACCTATTTATTTTTACAGATGACGAGAATCAGAGATGTTAAGTGACTCACTCAAGTTTGCACTGCCAATATTTGGCAAAGACAGAATTTGATCTTGAGTCCTTCCAGCTCCACTGCACCTTGTTTGCATCTGATCAAAACTACTTCCTTCTTCCTTCCTCTTCTCACCCCCCCCCCCCCCCGCTTCCCTAACACAATTGTATCAATTGTATTTAAGGATAATATTAGCTTAAACTACATAATTGGGTAAATCCAATTTCCCTAGTTAACATATCTGCCCTGTCCCTAATCCTATTGCTTGTCATTTGAAGTCTTCTCTTAGAAGTTCTGGATTTCTTCTCCAGCTTGTACCAGTGGTTCTCAAGCCTGGATATATATTGGTGTCTGTCAACTGTGGAACTTAATATTCAGATCTTTGGACCTCCAGCAGTGATTCTGATTCGGTAGATCTGGGGTGGAGTTTAGACATACATGTTTTTTAAAAGCACCATGGGGTGATCTAAAATGGAGGCCAGCGCCTGCCGGCATTTCCTAAAACTCTGTGAGGAATGGCCAGTGGAGGAGACCAAACAGTCAGGAGTAGCACAGGCCTTTCCAGAGGGAAAGGGTACTCAAGATTGTAGAGCCTGAGGCCTGTGATCAGAGGTATGAGAGCTTAGCATGACTCCATTCAAATTATTACAAACACAAGAACCCTTGCCCCAAAGACATGAGCCTCACAGGCCTATCCCCAGAGTATAGGCCGATCCTGTCCACAGACATCTTGGAAGAGTTTAAAGAGTTGAATAAAGGAATGTGGAAGAAACTGCAGAAGTTTGCTCCCAAGAATCCCAAGGAGAAGCAGAAGGCATGGTCTCAGCCCTTAGCTCACCCACGCTACTAAACGTGGAGTCTTCTAGTTGCCATCATAAGTAAATTGCCTGATCACCCCCCACCAAAAAAAGCGCTCCACAGACCTGAAACTAACGTAACATAATAAATTAAAAATAAATAAATAAATAGCTCCGTAGGTGTTTGTTATACATAACTGAAGTTGAGAATTTTTACCCTGGATACATTTAAATTGTTGGGCATGGAAGGAAACCTAGGATTTGGGAAGTAGCTAGAGACTTCTTGATCCCTTAGAGTTTTAGGGATCTAAAGGGATTTAGATTTAGTTTTCAGTTTAATTTTATGGCAAGATCTGTCCCATTCCTGGCTTCCAACCTTCTATGTGGGTATATCCATTTAGAAATGTAATCAGAGTCTGAGTTCCAAGGTATCTAGTGGTGCTCTTCTCCCCACTGCCTCTTTTTTGATGAAATGTTGGACATCATAGGGTTGGAATATGTTCATCGAAGTACGCAGTTGGAAAAGGCACTTTGTGAAATGGTAAGCTTGGATTATTGTTTAACACTCTCATGAAAACAAAGTCTTTGTGTAATGCTTTTGATTTATAGATTTGAACAATAGTGAAACAACTGAACTTTATGCTTCAAGTTAAATAATAGATTTGATCAGAAAAATGATACTATGAGTACTCTCGGTTTTGTATTCTGAGCAAAACAAGAATTGCTAAAATTTGAGTTTCTTAAAACAAACAGTTCAACTCTCTCTCTTTCTCCCTAGTTCTTTTTGGAGGTGGATATCTGCTCAGACAGTAAGAATTATAAGAGGTCAGTTACAAATAATATTCTTTCATGTTTATAGTATGATAAAAATTTTATGTTCGTATGCTAAAATATTAAACCATAGGCATTCATGCTAAAAGTTGCCTTCTACAAAAAAAAATAGGCAGGTTTGGGGGGGTGGATAGTCTGAAGTGAATGGTCTGACAGTGGTAGTATTCCAGCCCCTTTTCTCTTTAATTCAGGACTAGAATCAATGGAAATGGGACGGGCTGTAGATTAGCTTCTAAAGTATCTGGACAGCTACTCAGTGATTTTCCATACATGACCTCTCTTTCCTGGTGCTTTGCAAGCTTGTGCCCAGAGATACCATTCAGTAGATTTGCTGGTTGGTAGTTAGGCTCTCTAGCTGCCGACAACTGAGCTGCTTCTAATCTTTGCAACACTTGAGGGAAGGCTGCCGGCTGCCTTCATGTTCTTCTTAGCTAGGAAAGAAAAATTTGAAGTTGACCTTATGGAGCCTCTCATTTATTAATCATTTCTTCTTCTCCCATGTGATCAGAGAATTGCTCTTTTATTTATTTATTTATTTATTTTTTAATAAACATATAATGTATTTTTATCCCCGGGGGTACAGGTCTGTGAGTCGCCAGGTTTACACACTTCACAGCACTCACCATAGCACATACCCTCCCCAATGTCCATAACCCCACCCCTCTCTCCCTTCCCCCCTCCCCCCAGCAACCCTCAGTTTGTTTTGTGAGATTAAGAGTCACTTATGGTTTGTCTCCCTCCCTATCCCATCTTGTTTCAATTATTCTTCTCCTACCCCTCTAACCCCCCACGTTGCATCTCCACTTCCTCATATCAGGGAGATAATATGATAGTTGTCTTTCTCCGAGAGAATTGCTCTTTTCTCATGAATTTTATTTTCTTGTGTAGTCACCCAATTTCAGTTCAGACTATAGAAACATGCCCCTGAATGCTTTATTTCTCCTGTGAAGAAGGCAGCCATTATTTTCTGTGTTAGTTGAGATGGAATTTGGTATTCTGTGGGGTTGGGAGAAAATGAGAGTCTTCTCTTTTTTTTTTTTTAACTTGATTATTTACTAAAATGTGAAAGAAGTAGACTTTTTTTTTTGCTGTACCTTTTGGTGGTGTTCTTCAGAGTGCTCTGTTAGAACTTTACCTCCTTCCTTCCCTCACTTTGTCCTTCTCTCCCTTTTTATTTCCTCCCTTTTTTTCTCTTTTTAAATGATTGGTTTTCTTTTCGCTTTCTGGAAGTGACTATCTTAATAAAATTTGGAGACATTTAAAAATTATTTTAAAGAAACCTAATATTCCGAGGGAGGAATGTATAGTAAATTTAGATGTCAGGTTTTTCCTGTTGCATGCTATTTTTACATTTGATTCTAGTTTTTTAAAATAAAAGTTAACAGAAGTAATCTCTAACTCACTCTTGGGAAATATCTAGAAGTAATTTTTTTTTAGTATTCCTGGCAATTTGTTATTACTCTTTTATTCTTCTAGCAGAGTGGTTCTCAGATTTTTAGGACTTGTTAAAATATAGATTACTGGGTCACAACCTGTAGGTTCTGATATGGTTAGTTGCTCTGTGGTAAGATCCAAGAATCTGTACTTTTTATTTTATTTTTTTATTTATTTGACAGAGAGATCACAAGTAGGAAGAGAGGCAGGCAGAGAGAGAGGGGGAAGCAGGCTCCTTGCTGAGCAGAGAGCCCGATGTGGGGCTTGATACCAGGACCCTGAGATCATGACCTGAGCCGAAGGCGAGACTTTAACCCCCTGAGCCACCCAGGCGCCCCAAGAATCTGTACTTTAAAGAGGTTCCCTGGTGATGCTGGAGCTACTGCTGCTGGTCTGGAAACTACACTTTCTGAGAACCACTGCTCTATCATTTATACTGTTTTTCTTTGTATATGAATAAGCTCTGATTCACAAATAGCATAAGAGTGGTGCACTTATTGTTTTAACATGTTTAATGGTGATTTCCCAAACGTTTTAAAATCTTGATGTTTTGTTATCTAGTGTCAAAGAACACTGCTTTTTACCTACTCTTGTACTTTATTTATTAATATAAATTTATTGTCTATTGATATACCATCTCTTACAGCGCCTTGAAATCAGTATTGGGAATACTGCTTTCTAAATTAAAGTTGCTAGGCTGCTAGAGGTTCAATACTAAGTTGACATGTAGTTCTGAAGAGTTTTCTTAATAGGATTTTTTGAATGACAGAATAAATATTGTTTCTTTTAGCTTTGGTTTTTATTGTTCTTGTGGACTTTGCACTGTTCTGGTCTTTGTTAATTAGTTTGCTAGTAGTTGGAAATATTTAATTCTGTTGTTTTTTTTTTTTTTTAAGATTATTTATTTATTTATTTATTTGGCAGACAGATTACAAGTAGGCAGAGAGGCAAGCGGGGGGTGGGGGGAAGCAGCCTCCTTGCTGAGCAGAGAGCCCCATGTGAGGCTCGATCCCAGGACCCTGGGATCATGACCTGAGCTGAAGGCAGAGGCTTAACCCACTGAGCCACCCAGGCGCCCCGAAATATTTAATTCTGACTAATAAGACCCTATACCTAGAAAACTAATACTTACTGAGATGACCACTCCCTTATTTTAAGTAGAGATCTTGAATTTGATAGTACGTTCTTTTTCTCCTTATCGATGTCAGCACATTAGGGCCAAGAGCAGATGTTATTGGGTGAATTTTTAACAGGACAAAGATTTTCTTTTTCTTTTTTTTTTTTTTTTTTTAAGATTTTATTTATTTATTTGACAGAGAGAGATCACAAGTAGGCATAGAGGCAGGCAGAGAGAGAGGAGGAAGCAGGTTCCCTGCTAAGCAGAGAGCCCAATGCGGGGCTCGATCCCAGAACTCTGAGATCATGACCTGAGCTGAAGGCAGAGGCTTAACCCACTGAGCCACCCAGGCGCCCCAAGATTTTCTTTTTCTATTAAAAAAATACCTATCTGGGATTGAGCCCTGTGTCGGGCTCTCTGCTCAACGGGGAGCCTGCTTTCCTCTCTCTCTCTGCCTGCCTCTCTGCCTACTTGTGATCTCTCTCTGTCAAATAAATAAAATCTTAAAACAACAAAAACCTATCTGGAGTTTAATTTAAAGCACATACATATATATATGTATATCTCAATGTCAGCATATTTATCAATGTCAGTATATTTTATGTGTATATATTTATATAAAAATACACATCTGTAGGCTTCACAACCTGTCAGTGTACTATTGGAATGAGTTGTGTAGTTGATTCTAAATACCTAGTCTGAAATGACCGTGACTCTCTGGAAATCTTTTCCTGCATTCTCCCCAGTACTGACAACTGAAGTCACAATATCATGAGCAGCTTTCACCTACTGCAGAGGTCTTTCCCTTGATCATAATTATTTTTTGGACATTACCAAATTGATAAAGAGATTGGGAATGGCTTATAGTTTTGGGGTTTTTTTTTAGATTTTATTTATTTGACAGAGAGATACAGTAAAAGAGGGAACACAAGCAGGGGGAGTAGGGGAGGGAGAAGCTGGCTTCCCGCTGAGCAGGGAGCCCAATGCGGGGCTCAATCCCAGGACCCCAGAATCATGACCTGAACCAAAGGCAGATGCTTAATGACTGAACCACCCAGGTGCCCCTGGCTTATAGTTTTTTGAGAGAGATTCCTTTGAGGAAGAGGAAGCTAATTTTAATTTTTTTTTAGGCATGGTTATCGTGATGTGTATTTTCCTTCCTTGTAGAAAACAGAAGCCGTGAAATAGAATAGCCAAAGAATCTAGTTCTCAAACTACACGTTGCTTCCAAGTGCCAGCTGTAGTACATTAGGTATAATCTATGGTTGTCCTTTGATATAGGTTATTATCCATCACCTGCTTTTCTCCCTCATTTTCCTCATAGCTCTGAGAGCTCGTTTTGAAGGAATAATGGATGAACCATCCCCCTTGGGCAAACCTATGGAGCTGAACCAGCATTCCCGATTCATAATTGGTTCTGTGTCTGAAGATAACTCAGAGGATGAAATTAGCAGCCTGGTGAAGCTGGATCTGCTGGAGGAAAAGGAGGGCTCTCTATCACCAGCTTCTGTTGGTTCAGATACACTCTCTGATTTGGGGATCTCCAGCCTACAGGACGGCTTGGCTTTACACATGAGGTAAGACAAATTTAATGCTTTCTTTATCTAACATGACCTTTTGGTTTCGCTGATTCTGTTCTGGAAAGAGCAAGAATAATTTTAGCCAAGATTGTGCCACCTTTAACTGCATCACTGGACTTGAAGCTTTGATGAATAAATGTACTTTGCATGAAGTGCAGTTTTCTTTTCTTTCTCTCTTTCTTTTTTTTGGAAGTGCAGTTTTCAAAGTGTCTTTTCCTAAACGTTCCTCTCAGCTTTTTCCTGTTCTTTCTACATACTTGGTCTTTTAGTGACATCTAGACAGTGAGAGGTTGAGGAATTTGGTTTCTGTACTACTTTGACTAATGTCATAACTATCTTAATGGGTGATAGGACTTTTTGCAGGATTGGGCAAATTTATAGTAATCGATCTTTGAAGTGCTTTATCATGTCAAAAAGGTATATTCTATTTCTGGCAGGGTCAGTCCTCAATAACAACCTGTGGCAGGAGCAAAAGGTGATTATAGACCTCTCCTTTTTCTCTAAAAATAGAATTCTTTACATGTAATTGAGAATGTCAGTAAATAGTAACACTGGATTATTCTTATTTATTGATGTTTGATTATACAACCAGTATGGGATATATTGACCTTTGGTCATTTGCTTTGCATTTCTTGAATTAAAGGGCCTGGATTAATGGTTCTTGGTTTTCACTGTATGTCATAATCACTTGGTGGGGCCTTAAGAAATGAGCGCCATCTCCAAAGGTTCTGAATCATTTGGTATTGGCTTGGTTTGGAGCTGGGGCATTTTCTTTTTTTTAAAAACTATCCAGGTCATTCTAATATACAGCCAGGGTTAAGATGATAGGTCTGGCAGAGATAAACATTAATTCGAGTGGCTGTTGGTGTTATTATCTTGGTGCTTCTATTATTGATGGATCATAAAATAATTAAGCTCCTTTTTATATATTCAAGACATAGACTGTATAGTAAAATCCCACACTGGCTCTGGCTGAATGTGACTTTCCTGGGACTTTGGGGTCCTTGCTTCTGAACGGTGAGGTAGTAAGTTGGTGGTCACCCCATTTAGCTATGTGGAGGTGAGAAGAAAAGAGTTAAGCCAGTTAATTATGTTTTATATCATAGATTCCTAGAACTGCAATGAACCAGAGAAATAATGTAGCCTAATAGCTTTTCTTCAAGTAGATGAGAGAACCGAGGCTTAAAGAGGGGCAATAACTTGCGTAAGGGTGAATAGCCAGAGAACTGGAATTCAAAGTCAGGTGCCCTGATTCCATTTCAGTAACTTGTCTACTCTACTTCCCTAACAATAAAAGTGTCTTAATTATTTAGCTATTTCAGACGAAGTTGGTTTTCAGGAGTTGATGAATGAAGGATTTTATCTAATCTCTGGGCTAAAAGGGGAATAGAGGGCAGTATTTAGTGGCAGATAAAAAGGGTCAATTCTTTATGTAAATATTTCTTAGAACTTTATAGTTCACTTAATGGTTGACCTGAAGGCTAATACTGGTGGTGATATCTTACCCTTTGAGGTCTTTGTAAATGTGTGAAGGTTGTGATTGGTGGGACTACAGGGGATCCATTCCAAGACCCCAGCGGATGCCTGAAACAGCAGGTAGTTCTGAACACTAGATATACTATGTTTTTTCCCTACACGTATATACCTATGTTAAAGTTTAATTTGTAAGTTAGGCACAGTTAAAAGATTAACAATAATAACTAACAGTAAAATAGAACAGTTATAACAATATGCTGTAATGTTATGTGAATGTAATTTCTCCCTCTCAAAAATCATATTATACCAATTTCACCCTTCTCACCTCACCAATCTCATCATTCGTGTGAGGACGTGAGAGGACAAAATGCCTAGGTGATGAGATGAAGTAAGGCGAATGATGTAGGCATTGTCACATAGCTTTAGGCTACTGTTGACCTTCTCATGCCGTGTCAAGAGAAGGGTCATCTGCTTCTGGACAGCGGTTGACTGTGGGTAAATTAAACCTTGGAACGTGAGGAACCACGGATGAGGGAGGTCTACTCCTGTTCACTTGCATTTAAAGGACAGAGGACCGATGATTCTAAACCTTCTTCAGTGTACTAGATAATCTCACATAGCCAAGAATTGTCCTCAAAATGTCATAATGCCCCTGTTGAGAAAGACCGGGTTAAATCTAAATCCTTAAAGCCACACAGCAGCTTGAGAAATTTGTCCAGTTTGAGACCATGTGAAACACACTGTCCATTCGTTGGATTAGGAAATTGTGTTTGGCAGTGGTGACATAAACACCATTATAGGAAACTCAGCCAATGATTTGCAAGGCAGCTTGTAGTTGCCAAGTTGTTCTCAAAGTCGATGTTTCTTATTGAAAAGACTGTGTGGTCTGTGGTATTAGTGCCTGAGAATTTTTTTGCCATCCCTACTGTTGCAAAACTCATGCCCATAGCTCATGGAGGAGCACGTGGATTGAAGTGTGTTCATTGGCCTGGGGAGGAGTTTGCGCCTACTTCTCAGCTACCAAATGTTCCAAAATAGAACACATGTTTTCCACTGATCCATTTCTAAGTCATTTGTGGATGTGGTATCCTTGGGGTTAATTTAAATTGAGTCAGATTTACTTGATATTGGAGAGATCTCTATTCTTGCATCTGCCACCAATTAGATATGTGACCACAAATAATTCATAAAAATTACCTCTTTGGACTCATTTTCCACATCTGTGAAAATGAAGATACTGGTTCAGATATTCTTTTTCACTCTTTGAACCCAGAATTAGAGATTGGTTGAGTTCAGGATTACCTTCCTAAATGAATAATCTAATCTTTTACAGACCTTGTAGATTAAAGGGGCAGGTGCATTCCTAAGAGGTGTTTACTAGAGGTCATCTAAAACCAAGTAACATGGGGTGCCTGGGTGGCTCAGTGGGTTAAAGCCTCTGTCTTTGGCTCAGGTCATGATCCCAGGGTCCTGGGATCGAGCCCCACATTGGGCTCTCTGCTCAGCAGGGAGCCTGCTTCCCCCTCCCCTCTGCTTGCCTCTCTGCCTACTTGTGATCTCTATCTGATAAATAAATAAAATCTTTAAAAAAAAAGAAAACCAAGTAACATGACTGCCATAGGTTAGGGTGAGAGTGGGCCTCTCAAGCTTAGGTCTTGGTTTTTTATGCTAACTGAGAAGTCTAATGGGCATGATGGATAGGCAGGACTAGAAAATAGACTGTTATAGAGATGGAGATGACTTGTATTACATATTTTGAGCATCACTGAAGGAGAATCACTTTCTAAGCTTTATGACCCTGGGGCACCTGCCTAGCTTAGTCAGTAGAGCATGCAGTTTTGAGCTTGGGGTCATGAGTTCAAGCCCTGTGTTGGGTGTAGAGATAATAAAATCAAACAGTCCAAGCTTTACGACCCAAACTTTTGAAAGTAATACCCTAAGAAAGTAGTTATAGCAAGAAAAAGAAAAAAGTAGTTATAGCTTGGTGGGAATGTGTAAGCTTCATTGTAGACACTTGTGCTTTGGCTTTTTATTTTTGGATAGGGTCAGCTAGGGATTGATCAATCAGCTAGGCTGATATATTTCTGAACCTCATTATTACTATTTAATTGAATATTTGAGAAGAAAGACTATTTTTAAAAAAATATTTTATTTATTTGACAGAGAGAGACACAGGGAGAGAGGGGACACAGGCAGGGGGAGTGGGAGAGGGAGAAGCAGGCTTCCCAACGAGCTGGGAGCCAGATGCGGGGCTTGATCCCAGGACCCTGGGATCATGACCTGAGCCAAAGGCAGATGCTTAACGACTGAGCCACCCAGGTGCCCTGAGAAGAAAGACTGTTGAAGACTAAATGTAGGCATCTTAATTTTGATATGCATGGATAATGACATCTGTTTCTTGTGGGGTGCTACTTGAAGTCAGATTGTTCTGAATATTTACAATGCAGTGTAAATCCAAATCACCCCACAATCATGCTGTCAACCAAACAAAGATTGTATCAGTTTTGTCAACTAGTATACTGAATTCTTGGTTGAAGTCCAATTGGAAATAAGTGAGCCCCACAATTGGGTTTCTCTTAAGGTAGTATGATTTCGTTAAATCTTTTTTATCCTATAATTCATGTTATAGTATTTGAAACTCCATTTCAATTTTCCCTTAAACTTCTTAAAATAAATGCCCAAAGTATCAAACAGCCAACATTTTATGCTTAGCAAGCGTGTTTTTGGTGATTTCATTTGAGAACAATCTGTAATTGTTGTTATTTTCTTATATAAAGTCATCATTTGATGCTCTATAGCTGGGTTTAAGACAGTGGTTGCTGCTTTGGTAGGACAGAGATTAAGTTCACTCAGGAAGGGCTTATTGAAGGTGAGCTACATTACTATCTCCTTTCTGGTCTAGAAAGAAAAGTACTTAATCAATAACTTGGAAAATTTAGAATCCAGGTATATGATTGCCAAGAAGTGTTTTTGACTCTTCAGAAGACTCTAAGTAGAGTTTTGAAGCTATTTTGTAATTAGAAATGACCTGTACAGTTTGTCCAGTGAGGAGCCTGGGTGGCTCAGTGGGTTAAGCCTCTGCCTTCAGCTCAGGTCATGGTCTCAGGGTCCTGGGATCGAGCCCGGCATTGGGCTCTCTGCTCAGCAGGGAGCCTGCTTCCCCCCTACCCCCGCCCGCCTCTCTGCTTAGTTGTGATCTCTCTCTCTCTGAAGTAAATAAATAAGATCTTAAAAAAAAAAAAAAAAAGCTTGTCCAATGATACCAGTCGTGGAATACAGACAGATAATATACTGAGTTGCGGATCATCTCCTAGCTACCACACTTCTGGTCATAGACCTTTTGTTTTATTAAAGTCGGCTTCATGCCCAGCGTGGAGCCCAGTGCAGGGCTTGAGCTCATGACCCTGAGATCAAGACCTGAGCTGAGATCAAGAGTTAGACGTTTAACTGTCTGAACCACCCAGGTATCCCCTGGTCATAGACTTTTAAAAAACACAGAGGGAGGTGGGTGGGGGGATGGG